TGTCCCCTGCTCCCCTCCTGCCTCTGTCCCCTGCTCCCTCCTGTCTCTGTCCCCTGCTCCCCTCCTGTCTCTGTCCCCTGCTCCCCTCCTGCTTCTGTCCCCTGCTCCCTCCTGTTTCTGTCCCCCGACTCCCCTCCTGCCTCTGTCCCCTGCTCCCCTCCTGTCTCTGTCCCCTGCTCCCCTCCTGTCTCTGTCCCCTGCTCCCTCCTGTTTCTGTCCCCTGCTCCCCTCCTGCCCCTGTCCCCTGCTCCCCTCCTGTCTCTGTCCCCTGCTCCCCTCCTGCCCCTGTCCCCTGCGTGACACTCCTGTGGCTTCGCCCTGAGCTCACTGACAGGCCGCTGGCCTCTGGAGGGTGCTGGGAGGGCGGGGCTGGGGCCTGAGGCCAGGAAGGACAGTCTTGGGCCTGGGCGGGGAGCAGGCTGGAGTAGGCTGGTGGAGCCTGGGTTTGCCTGACGGCCAGGGAGGGAGACGGCCAGCTGAGGGCAGACAAGCCTGGACATGCCACCAAGACAGCCGGGCGCCAGGTGGGTGTTCAGAAATGCTCCACTGTCTTGAAACCTGTCTGGACCCAGGCTTCTGGCCAGTCCCTGTCACTCTGGAGCCCTGGCAGGGTCTGACGCTGCATCTCCTCTGCGGATGCACAGTTCAGCCCACACCTACCACCGCTCCTTCTGGCTGCACTGCACCTGGGTCCCCTGGAGCAGGGAGCCAGCGGGAGGGAGGGGCCCAAGCAGAGTGGAGACCCCGTCCCTGTGGCAGGTCCCAGAGCCATCAAGCTGAGCTCTGCTTCCCGCCCTGCCCTCTGCCAGACTGTCTTCTTTCCTGCCCGTGGAGGACCTGGGTCCCCTGGAGCAGGGCCCGAGTCACAGGAATAGCCGCTGCTGGGCTCTCTCCTGAGCAGTGCTGTCTCTCCGGCCAGCAGGGGCTCGTCCTCTCTCTCCTCTTATGAGCAAGGCAGTGCTGTGTCCCACACCTAGTTTTGCTCCACCTTGAAATGCCACCCAGCTTCCTGCAGCCTGAGGAGGGGAGCCCCGGAGGGTGCGGACCCCGSGATGGAGCCCACGGGTGCTATCTTTCTGATAGACCTTGGCCTGCTCCGGACTAGAATGCCTTTCGTCTCACCTCTGCAAAGACAGGTGGTCATTCTGTTGTGTCCTGCACCTAAGTTTCAAGGTTCCTGTGACCCAGGCCATCTGCCTTGTCAGTTGAGGGCGGGTTCTGTGATCCATGCTACGTATTGAGCTTCAGAGTGGGTCACTTTAGCTAGCTGTTTGAGCAGGTGGGATGGGGTAGCTATGACCATCCACCCCGTGAAGGGCAGAATCATTCCACAGGCTGAGCACCATGTGCTGGCTCTGTCCCCTATGGGTGTTGCCAGCCTCTGGGTGGCCTTGTCCACCTCTCCTGTGGCTCTGCCCAGCTAGTCTTCCTGAGAGCAGGGTCTTCATGCCTCCCGATGACCCCCACCAGGGCAAACCTGCCCATTTCTTGGGGTTTCCACGAAAGCATAATTGTTGTTTGTGTGTACAGACTTCACAAAGTAGAACATTCTTTCTTGTCACCTGGGGATTGTCACCTCAGGCCGCGCTCGGGAACTCAGAATTCCATGAAAACCTGACAGAGGCTCCCCTGAATGCTCCTCATTGGCATGACACGGTGACTTTGCCTGGCCACTCAAAACAGCCGCACACACTCTCCCAGGTGCGCGGCTACCAGGGACCACTGAGTCCACACGCAGGAGTAGTGGAGGGACCAGCAACTGTCAGAAGGCACAGTTAGGATTCTGTTCTTTCGCCGCTAGGAGAACAGTGGGTATGGAGGAGCACAGTGTCACTGGCTTCCCTTGCCTGCCCTCTCTGGAACGCTGTTGTCACCGGACCCAGGAGTGTCCTCCATCCCTTCTCACTCACCTCCCACCTTCCTGCCAGCACCACTTCAGAAACAATCGACTGGGGCTGAACGTGAAGTCACGTCGTGGACCTTGACACGGAAAGACATGGTCTAAACCCAGCCGGGGCCCAGGTGGCTGCTCCCGCTTCCCCCTGCCAGGCRTCTTGCTGGGTGGAGAAGGGCTGAGTAGATGCTGGCTGCTGACTCGGGTCTCAAGGTCCCATCCTGGGTTCACCAAGAACAAGATGTGGAGCGGCTAGGGCGTGCGTGTGAGTTTTCTCAAAGCCGAGCGGGTGCAGCACTGGTGCTGCTGGGGTTGGTGGCCGCCTGGCCGAGTGACAGGCACTTAACTGGAACCTGCTTGCTGAAGGCAAGTCAAGCCAGGGGGGAGGAGGCAAGGGTGGCTGCCACCTGCCAAGAGCCACTCTGCCGTCTGCGTGTGCCGTTTGGGGTCTGCACAGATTTACAAGCTGAGTTTTGGTGAACTAGCTACTACCTGAAGGGAAGCCGTCAGCGTGGAGAGCAGGCAGTCTGGTTGGCCACCCTCGTCTCAGGCCCAGAGGGAGCTGCCCTGGACTCCAGGCTCGGC